AAGACGACCCTGGTGTACCACGAAATTACCACGGACCCGGGGAAGAAGATAAGGGACCCGGTGCGCCCCATCCCACGGACGTTGTGGGATACAGTCCAAAAAGAACTTCGGGATATGTTACGGTGGGGAGTGGTGGAAAAATCGCGGAGTGAGTGGCGGAGCCCCATCGTGCTGGTCCCTAAGAAGGATGGGGCCATACGATTCTGTATCGACTTCCGGAGGCTGAACGCGGTGTCTAAGTTTGACGCGTACCCTATGCCCAGAGTGGACGAGCTGCTGGAACGCTTGGGGCGGGCCGAGTATTTGTCGACGATTGACCCCACGAAGGGATCCTGGCAGCTACCCCTGGCCCCAACGGCCAGAGAGAAGACGGCGTTCGCCACCCCGTTTGGGCTATTCCAGTTTGTCACCATGCCATTCGGATTACACGGCGCGGCAGCCACATTCCAGAGGCTGATGGATGAAATCCTGGAAGATCACCGTGAATACGCCACGGCATATATAGATGACATCGTCGTCTTTAGTAATTCTTGGGAGGAGCATTTACAACAGCTGGAAGCCGTCCTGCGGGCGCTCCAATGGGCAGGACTCATGGCAAATCCCAAAAAATGCCAGTTTGGGGAAAAGGGAAGTATCATATCTCGGGTACACGGTGGAGAGGGGGCAGTTAAAACCATTGTTAGATAAGGTACAAGCCATCAGGGACTACCCCCGACCCCGCACCAAGCGACAAGTCCGCCAATTTTTAGGCCTCGCCGGATACTATCGGCAGTTTATAAACCATTTTGCCTCACTGGCCGCTCCGTTGACAGACCTTACAAAAAAAGATCAACCCCAGGGGGTGGTATGGACGCCCCAAGGGGTACGGGCGTTTGAGACACTCCGCCAGTGCCTGATGTCGAGCCCGGTATTGCGGCCACCCGATTTCGAAAAGCCATTCTTGCTACAGACCGACGCCTCCGAGGTGGGGCTCGGAGCAGTCCTTGCGCAGGAGGAAGGGGGCACGGAATACCCCGTGGCCTACCTAAGCCGAAAGCTGTTCCCCAGGGAAAGAAATTATGCAGTAATAGAAAAGGAAGCGTTAGCTATTAAATGGGCCATAGACTCTTTGCGCTATTTTCTTACAGGCAATACCTTCACGCTGGTGACGGACCACGCACCGTTGAAATGGATGCAGACCATGAAAGACAGTAACGCGCGGATAATGCGGTGGTATTTAAGTTTGCAACCCTTTTGTTTTGAAATTAAACACGCACCTGGTAAAGACCTGAACGCAGACTGTCTCTCGCGGCTGCCGGGTGACGAGCAACCGGAGAGCGCAAGGACTGCAGGAAGGGGGGAGGTGTGTGACGGGGTGGAGCAACCCCGCCACTTGCTAACGCCGCCCGAGGCAGCCAGCGGGGGGGAGGCAGCGAGCGCGGCAGGCCGCCCGGTTCCCGGGCGTCTGAGCGAGAGGGGAGTGGCGCGTCATCAGGCGGCGCCTAGGCGCGCCGGCGGTGACGTCACGGGCGTGACGCCGGAGGGGGAGGGGGGAACCCGGAAGTGGGGCGAATGGCTAAAAGGCGCGGCAGCGGCCAGAGCAGGGGAGGGAGGCCGAGAGGGTCCCGGCGCCGGAGGTGGAGAGAGGGAAGAAGCCCAGGCAAGGGGGAACTCCGGAGGACGAGTCCCCGACTGGGGCTGAAGGGCGATTTCCGCGGTCATGGGCCGGCGGAGTGGAGCAAGACCCAGGGCGGGCCGTGGAACCCGGGAGCAGGTGTGTTTGGGGTAGTCTGAGCGGGTGGCCACGGTGGCCCCAGGAACATTGGGCCACCATACTCGCCCCCTACCTGTCTGGCCCGGCACAGCTCGCTTATAGGAGCTTGTCCGATCGTGACTCTTTGTGTTATTACAAGGTCAAGGAAGCGATCCTTGACCAGTTGGGCATTTCCCCAGAGACATATAGACAGAGGTTTCGGGCGGCCAAGTACGTATCAGGGGAGCGACCCCGGGTGGTCGCCCAATGGATTCGGGAAGCCGGGCTACGATGGCTGGAACCCTCCACCAAAACCGCGGCTCAGGTGGCCAACCTGGTGGTACTTGAACAGTATCTGCAAGTGCTACCTGCAGAGGACCGACAATGGGTGCGCCGGCATTTACCCGGAACCCTGGAAGAAACCGTGACGCTCATGGAGCACTTCCTGGTGGCAGAAGCACCAGAAGACCGCGTCAAGGTAGGGCCGGGTACTAACCCGGTGGGTCGGGGAGGTCCTAGCCCCAGAGGGAAGGAAGGGCAAGACAGTACGGGGCCAGGGGTTAGAAGCCCCCCCTCCCGAGGTACGGAGCGACGATTAGCCCCGGTGTGGCGCGGAACCGAGAACCGCGAGAAAGGGGAACCCCGGGCCGGCGCCAAAAGGAGCACAGAGGACATGCCGGGGACCCAGTCAAAACCAACGTGCTTCCAGTGCGGCCAGGAGGGCCACTTTCGTCGGGACTGCCCCAAGATGGACTGCACGTACGGACAGCCCAAACCCTGGAGAGGCCCACGGCAGGAGGTAAGCCAAGCCCGCATAACAAGGCAGGTACGCCTGAATGGGGAGACGGTGGAGGCCGTATTAGACTCAGGGTGCGGGCAGACATTGGTGAGGGGGAATAACTTAAAAGGGGGCCGGCCCACACAAGCCCAGGTGTGGATTAGATGCGTGCATGGGGATGCACGGCCCTACCCGATGGTACAAGTAAGCCTGCATGATGGACAGAGAAGGGGGCCGCTGTGCGTGGCGGTGGCACGGCGGCGACCCCCGCCCCAACCGGTTAGGCCGG